ATATATATATATATATATAAATATATTCCTTTAAAAAAGGGTTTTTTACTTTTGCTTTTTAAAAATACTTTTAAATAATTAAATAAAATTGTTTTATAGATAAGAATTCAACATTGTGCTTTAGTTTTATTACCAATTTATCAAAGTTGTTTATTTTATTCCAATGTTCACTTAAAATAATAGTAAATAATTTTTATAGAAAAGATCATAATTCTTTAGATTCTTTTGCGTTTATTTGTTACCACAGTAGCAATACTACTGTTAATATTTTCATTTATAATAATGAAATTAAAATGGATTATTTTAGGCTTGAATAAGTTATTAGAAGAATACTATCAACTTAAAAATAATTGATACTGAAATGGTTAGAACTAAGCAAGCTAGCTTTGAAATTAATTGTTGTCAAAATGCAAGAAATCCATTTTGATGACAATTAAGAAACGCTGCTTGACAAGAAGAAATTAATTAATACTTAAATTACAACATCATGGTTAGGCAGATTTGATGAAACACCTTTTTTATGTTACCATAATGGTTTTATGTTACCATAATGGTTTTCCACAAGCTTTACAAGATTTAAAAGAAGTTGTATTGCATTCGAATATCATATATCATAATTCAAATATCATTTTTTTAAAATATATTAAAATTCATAATGCCTGTTTATATTTTGCTTTATTTACTGATTATGTGGTTTATTCTATGAATCATAGGCTGCCATGTTTTTAAACATTTGGTCAAATTTTTCTATTGTATAGGTAATCTTAGGCCAGATCAAGATATTCCCCCAACATTATCGACTGCATATCTCTGACCCACTTGAGGCAGTAAATTTTAGAAAACATTAACATAGCGATCAACTTTGCCTACATAATTTATTTTTTTATTTACAAACTATAGTTAGTGAAGTTGCAGTTGTACTTGTTGGAGAAGATGGTGCTACACCTGCTTCTAGGTAAGTTATTTACCCATAAGGTCATTTGGAAGTTATATTGAGTATGTCAGCTAATTTAGATCCTACGGCTTTTCCACTTTTTTTTTTCCGTTAGATGGCTTAATTGGTGTACAAACCTTAACATGCAACATTGGTTAGAAATCATGTTAAATTATATCAGTTTTACAATTATAATCCTTCAGCAAGCCAAAACTTCTGTTCAAGAATTTTGGCAAGAATTTTTTTTAATTCAGCTATATACTGCTGATGCATATGTTAAAATTGAAGAGCAGTGTCTTGCTTTCATAGAAATAACCAAAGCAAAATGAGAAGCATGCAAGATGATGCCTTACATAAGATGTAAGCAACCCTGGTAACAAACATAACATTAGACAAGGGCGCATTATAGTTTTTTTTTTACTTAAGGAGTCTAAAAAAACTATTAAAAAAATTAAAATGTTAAAGTATTAAAAAGATCTGGTAAACCAAATCTGTTTATTACTTATTCCTGCAATTCAGTATAGCTGTGTGTAGTAAAAAAATGTACACAAAGTTATTTTTAAATGTTCTTGATTAATAGTTTATAATAAGTATGTTTTCATGTGTAATAAAGTAAATTCTAATAGTTTATAAAATATAATATGTTCAAAATTTATATATGTTCATATTCTTTTTTTTTTCCTTTAATGTTTTAGAACCAGTGTTACTTATGTTTAATATTTTAATTGAATATTTATATTATAATTGAATTTTAATCTTACATATATTTACTATTTATTATGCTCAACTTTCTCACTACTATTGATATTCTACGATATCAAGACTGATAAGAATATTATAACTTTTATATTTTTTAGTTCCAATATTAGTCACTACATTTTTTTATGAATCAAATTTTATTAAATTTTTATATAACTGATTATAATTCACCTAAAACGAAATGATTTTATATATATATTTTTTGAAGTTTAAACATAATTTAATTCTTTTTTTTTCTTTTTAGTTGTCATTGCTTCATTAGTTTGCTTACTGTTGAAACATGGTTTTAATTTAGTAAATTTATATGATATGAAATTTACTATGTTAATCATTATTCACAGTTATGAAGGAATTGGAATTTAAAACTATTGGGGTAAAAATATTTTTGTTTGTTGTTAAATTAAAAACCTTTTTTTTAATGGTTAATTGTGCTATAGCTATTTTATGCGCATATTTTTTTTTTATCATTTTCATTAAATAACTTAAGTTAAGAATATAATAATTTATTTAACAATAACTTAAGTTAAGAATATAATAATTTATATAAATTTTTAAAAACACAGTGCCTTTAAAACACAGTCTGTCTCCTCTCTGTTTAATAAAAGTTTATTAAAAAAGAAGAGCATTATTGAAACACTCAATAATGCTCTGTTATTAACAAGCTTTTATGTTTCTTTTGGTACCATAATTGATAATGATCAGGTTTAAAAAATGTTTTACGAATCATTATTCATGAACACAATATATGTAAAATAATGCTTCCCATATATAATAAACTTGCTTATTCTAAAACGCAATAATAAATTTGCAATCCTCGTTTATTCCCCCTCCCCCTACCAATAATAAATATGCAATCCATGAAAAGGTTATCATGGAGGTAAATATGATGGTAATATTTCAAGAGCAATATTGTAGACAATCTTGCATTAGTAATTCTGCATGTAAAATATAAAACCTCCTCATTTTTTTGGTAGGGGGAGGGGGAATAAAACGTTTTTTGATCATAAGTTTTGAACTGTAATATATATATTTTTTAATTTGAATTCTTTGAATAAAATTTCATTTACTATAAGATTGTACAAAAATATTTTTCAATTTTTCAATTTCAAAATTTTTTTATTTGCTATATTTGGGGTTGGTGCCCTGAAAGTGTTGTATTTTGTATCTTCCCAAAATAATTTTTTGGCAGAATATCATTATTTTATATTAGTATTAATATGTAAAAAATTAAGGTTTGCAAAATTTCAGAAGTTTCTTCACTTGAACATGATAATTTTATAGGCCCGCCCCCTTTAAATGCCTTTTCTAAAAATATGCCACCTGCAGGATTTTAATTTTATCAATTTACAGTTTTTATATAACCTTAAAGGTTTCTTAAATAGAAGCTAAAAAAAATATTTGGGGTGTTCCAAAATCAAACTCAAAAGGTCAATTTCTAACCCATGATAGCCTTTCCATTCAAATCAAGTATTTGTTTATGTTTTCTGGAAGAAATGGTACTACGGAATTTTCTTAAGAAATTTTTTTTTTTTTTTTTTAATTATCTTCGCTTCCAACAAGGTTGCAAGCAACCACTAATTAGTGTTGGAAGTTACTGGAAGAGAAAAGATAAAGATTGTAGAGCAAGATAACAATTGAATTATAAACATTATGTGTTTTTTCCTTTGCATTTATTTGTTTCTATTTTTGGGCTTGATTTGTGATTTTTTATTTAATTTTACTTTGGTGCTGTTTCACACCAATTTTTTCCATACTAAAGTACAAGACATTTTGTCAAAAAATCATCAGTTTTTCCAGCACAAAAATGCAATAACTTTAGATTCAATAAACTTCTGAAGTTAAAAGACCCCTAATTTTTAATTTTTTTAAAGCTCAATACAGTTATGTTAATAATATATAAATATATTGACAAAAAAAATCTTGCGGAATGGATAATATACATTTTCTTAAGGAACAATTGTAACAAAAATGTTTTTATTGTATTTTAGGCAACCTGAACTAATTAAGTATATATACTTTTATTATTATTACTTTTTTTTTTTTTTTTTCGTGTGTTAATGTTGTAATAGTTTGAAAAATATACAATGATTTTCAAAACGCTATACTCTAGCTAGAATTATTTGATAACTGCTATTTCTCATCAAAAATATATTTAATATGAGTTGTAGAAATATGATATTTAACTTGAAATACTCCCTAGTAAATTATTTTCATAAGAATGACTATATAAAATCAACAAATTCACAACTTCTGTGCAAAACTTCATTTTGTGATCATTCATGAAATGGATTTAAACGAATTCTGTAACTCTATGCTACATCAACCATAACTTTCTGAAAATCTTTACTAATATCTAAAAAATTATTAAAAAAAAAAACTAAACTGCTGAAAGTTATATTTTCCAAGGAATTAAGGTTTACTTATCTAGTAACTAAAATTTGCATTTTTTTGTTCCGTGTGTGATTCCGCTTTAAATTTATTTTATTCTTTGATAAGAATACTAATGTATACTATTCTTTGTTTACAAAATATTTATATAGATTAGAGTAAAATGTACACCGCCAGTTTTATTTTTATGAATATAATAGACAAAACGGTAAAGCTACAGTTACGCGGCCTAAAATAATTATATTTTTGCGCTTGTTGCGCCAGGGGGTTTTGCTACATCGACTATCTTATAGCCTGATTCGCAACGGAGTGCTGCTACATCAACTATCTTATAGCCTTACAGCAATTAGTTAGTATAGTATAAATCAGACTATAAATCAGTATTTGATTTATAGTCAGATGGCCAGAAATAGAAAAAAAAAAAAACAGAAATAGAAAAAAAAAAAACAGAAAAATATAATCAATCAGAAAATATAAATACTTGATGATCAAGCCATACTCAGGTTTGATCATCTAAATACATTTCTGTCTGATTGTCTAGACATTTCAAAAGACAGCTTATCAATTTTTTTTATTATATATTTTTATAAATTTTTCATGGACATAACCTCTAAAATAGAGGTTATGATATTGGAATTTTTTTCCAAAATGAAGACCTTACAAGTTTAATCTTATAAACCAACCAAAAAAAATTTTTGAATAGATTTATTTAAAAAATACAGAGCACTTAAGAAGTTAATGAAATAATAGTTTTTCTTTAAACAATATATATCAAAGTCAAAAATACAGTCAAGGTACATTATCTCAATGAGTTTAATAGAATAACTTTATATAGAGTGTACTTTTGCTTTAGAGTAGACATAAAAAAGTAAAAGCATTCATTATTGGCTTTTAATAAATTAATTTAAAAAAAACTCACAGGAACTCTGTCAGGATATTTTCTCCTAATTTTTTCACCTTCAGATCGCCGTTTTTCGAAAGGATGCTCTTCTTTGTATTCCCATTTCATGATACCAGTAAAGTATAAAAAATAATTTATATCCAAGTAAATTGTTGTGTAAATGAAGAACTAAGATCAGTTACGTAGCTTATATTTACATTTAACTCGCTTTTTTATTTCTATTACCAGAGCCAAAATTCCGTTAAAAAAAACAAAACACTTTCGCGTCTTTTCTCTTAAACCACGTGATCTTAAAACAACCGACCTTTAAGAATGAATATATATATATATATATATATATATATATATATATATATATATATATATATATATATATATATGATGACATAGTCGTAATGAGATCGATTTTTGTTACAAAGATTATGAATATAAAGAACACAATAAAGGATATTATAACGAAAAGAATTGTTGTTTAATAAAAGATTCTGATCATAAAAAATGCAGTAATATATAAGTTGTTTTGCTTCTGGGATATAACAATTCAGTAGAATCCCGTTAATTAACCTTTGAGAAAAATAAATGTATTGTCCGAAGCAATAAATGTAGCAAACCTTCAGCGCAGTAAAGGTCATTTTCAAGATATAACTGCCAGTCAGTTTATTAGTTCAAACAAAAGATATTTTTCCGTTAAATATCTGGTCTGCATGATAAACAATCAGCATATTAAACTAATATTAGGAAAAAATTTTGTTTGCGTGAGGTCTTATTGTGGACCAAAAAATTCTTTCAAAATTTATTTAAAAAGAGTAAAGTCTATAAAAATAAAATTATCTTTTCAAATATAGATTTATATAGAGAAATTACTACTATTATAACAATTTGCAGACTTGTTGAATTTCAAGCTATTTAATCCAATTTTTAATCTCTTCGCTAGGTAGAGGAGTTATATTAACTATAGTAAAGACGAATAGAAAATTAGAGCTACAACTGCCAGCAATCTATTTTTTTGAGTACACTTACTAAATAAGTAGAGAACAACATAATTTTTAGTGAAAAAAACAGGTATTTTAAGAAATTGTTTGGTTTAAACACATGGTAATAGTTCTAGGGTTTTTAATCTATAACAATATTTAAACTTGAGATACTTTGTAGTTTTATTAAAGACATTTCGATGGAAACAGACTGAAAGAAATCGCATTAATCTTAGAACTTCGACTTTATAAAAACTAGTATTTCTCTCTCTCTCTATATATATAAAAAAAAATAATTAATTTTTTTTTAACGAAAGCAGAAACAGTTTTATTAAACAAACTATTTCAGCGATCGTAAAAGAAAAAAATCAACTTTTTACAAAAAAATTTTTTACATAAAAGATTTATTGATTTTAGATATATTTAAATATATCTAAAACAAAATTTTTTCCTAATATTAGTTTACATATATAGTTACATATATATTAGTTTACATATTAGTTTTCCTAATATTAGTTTACATATGCAACAACCGGTAAATATTTACCGGTTGTTGCATATGTTGCGTACGTACTTTTAAATTAAAACAGCTCATAAATATCACAATATATTTATTAAAAATTTATACGTGAATAAAGTTTAATTATGAATTTAAATATAAATAAAAAAACACGGCTCGATAATTGTCGATTAAATAGAGAATTCAAATTGTTTTTTATTTGCCAAATTTGAGTACTTTTAAGAGGTTAGAAGCGTAAGTTTTGTGATTTCATATCGTCAAAGTTTGAAGGAAATTCCAACCTGCTAAACAAAATTGCTTGGTCAGATGAAGATCAGTTTATGCTGAAAGGTATTATCGTCATTGTTAAATTAAAATATGACATAATGTCATAATGTCACAAAAGTCATAATTGTTCTACTCTTATAAACACAAACAAATATTTGTGTCCAAATCAAATAATGAAGTAATATTGTGGTTTGAAATGGTTAAATTAGTGGTTTAAAATGGTTTAATTAATGGTGGTTTAATTAGCACATACTTTTTGAAGATTCCGATCTTTTTTACAAAAGTTTGAAGAAGTTTTATGGATTTAAGTTAAATAACGCGGTATTTACTTTCAAGAAGATGAGAAATCTGTATATTATTTTTGTCAAATAAAAAGCTTGCTTGTTAGATGAAACCGTCAACAATAGATACACAAACGAGGTATAATCAAATGGCCGCTTGTACCCCGCCATTTTCCTACGGACTTCTTTTTTGGGACTACATTAAAAATATTATATACAAAGCCAGTATAAGGATGCGTTTGAAAAATTGTGATGATTAAAGTCTAGGAACAAAAAAGCCCTAAAATTTTGGCCATAACTGCTTCAAACGTGGGAGCAACAAACTGATAAAATATTCTATATACTATTTTTTTTAAAAATTTTTACTCAACTATATAGATATATCAATAAATTTTAGATTTCATACAATGATCTCTTAGTGTTCAAAAATTACAACTATGTAAAGTTTGAGCCCATTCAAATAGAGGGGTGTACAAGTTTTATAAGATCATAACTTTTGAACGCCAGGAGATTATTGAGATTATAAGAGCGCAAAAATTGTTCGTAATTGATCATAACACAGTTTTTTTTTGACACTTGATCAAATACTTGATAAACTATAAAGCAGTTGAAGATTTTTAGTTGTTTAGTATATTGTTTAGCGATATCGAAACGAAGCAAAATATTGTACATTTGGGAGTGTTCCAACGAGTTAGAAAAAAAGTTAACTGTGTTTTTATCTAAGCACTTGTCCACGACTTGTTCCACAATTGCAACTCTGTTATCTCAATAAACTTTGTATCTCAATAAACTTATAACATACGTGGTTTAGAATAAATTCTCTATTAAATTGCAACCAGGACATGTGTTGCCGCTGCAACTTATTAAATCTTTTGAGCTAGCCCATTATCATTAATACTAGGAGGTTTATATAGATAAACTACAAGCAGTATTTTACCACTAAATTTAATTGCATACTGCACTTGCAAAACGAATTTTGAGTTGAGTTATTTAGATTTATAATTGTATTGCTTTTATTGTGTATAGTTTCTGGTTCACCTATGCTTTTCTGTATGCTCATGAGCAGACAAAAAAGCAGAAGAGGACCCGTAGCTATACATAATAAAAACGATATAGTGACAAAAGAGGACTTTAACTTGATTAAGGTCTTTTTACAGTCCTTTGTAAAAAGACTTTAATCAAGATAAGGCCCTTTTACAAAAGATTGTAAAAAAGTACATAAGATACAATTGTCTACTTCATCTTTAGCTAAAAGGTTTTTTTAAAAACTTTTAAGCTAAAGATGCAGTAGACAATTGCATCTTATGTACACTTTTACAATCGTTTGTAAAAGGGCCTTAACTTGAATAAAGTCTTTTTCATCTATATTTTCATCTTTGTCATCTATAGACGACAATTTGCGAAGCGTGAATCAAATCAACAAAAAACTGTCAAAAATCGCTCACAACTTTCAAATTTTTTGCATTAAAATAATTATTTGCATTAAAATAATTATTTGCATTAAAATAATTATTTGCATTAAAATAAAATAATTTGTTAACTAAGAAGTTAAAAGATTTATCTCGTACCAACTCGTACCAACTCGTACCAACTTTTTTTAGCTAAATGATTTTTTTAAATTATATAACTACAAAAATAAAGTATTCACTAATTTCAATAAAATTTTCCTGGAGACCTGAAAAATTATTTTAAAAGTAAACATTCTAAGTTTACTTTTGTCAAAAAATTTAAATATATAATATAACGAAAATTGTAAAAGAAAAATTTTTTTGCGCGCGTTTTTTTGAAAAGGTTTAACAATTTTTCGCAAATATAGTGAAATTAATTAATAGATTAAAAGAGGGTGGAATGAAATAAATGAGAGAATGAAATAGTTATGGCAATGTTTATTTAAAAACAAATAACTTTTTTCTATGAATGGCCAAATTTTCGGTCGCGTGATATATATATATATATATATATATATATATATATATATATATATATATATGTATATATATTTATTCATTTGATAAATGGGCAGTTGTAAAATTGCTAGTATTTAACTTGAAAGGTATCCTTTTTACGCCTGTTAAGAATCATCTTTTACAATAAAGTTTGGTTTCCGGTTAAAGGTTAAAAGAGTTAAAAGTTTAAACGGTGAACAATGGGGTTGAATAAAATACGCCGATTATTCGCTTGTTTAAATATGGCTTTTAATAATTAATCATGCCTAAACTGACTAATGAATCTTTATAAATTCTTCGTTCAACTTTTAAATCGATTATTATCAAATTTATTTGAAAAAGAATTGTAAAAAAATTGTAAAAAAATAAAAATAAAAAAAATACACTTAACATAAAGTCGCACTTGCAGTACTCAAAATAAAAAGTGGCAAACTTTCACTAAACATACCTGCTCAATCATTCCATATACCAGTAGCAATTCTTTATTGGCGTATCAGTAACATAAGTGAAACAATCGGCATTGGTTCAAACACAAGATTGACGCAAAATTTTGGAATAGTAAAAAATTTTCTACATCCTGTAAAGAGAATTCATCAAAGTTGGTATTAGCAAAGACACCTCGTGTTATTTGTGGAATTTTGATGAAATTGGCTTCAAGTGATCAAAGAAATAAACACATAGTTTGCAGACGTGGTGCTAAACGACGTTTGAATTGGTTGGCAACAATAATAAAAAATTATTATACAGTTGGAAATTGCATCAATGATGCTGGTTATCGCCTTGCGCCATTCACAATTTTTTAAATCAAAAAAACTTCAGCCACTGTCTACTGAATCTACACCAACGACATCTAACAAAAAAAAAATTGTATTGCACCAGCTCCAATGTAAACACCATCAAAAAAGTTAAAAAACAATTGCAAAAAAAAAAGAAAAAAAAAGTTGAAAAACAATTGCTTGCCGCAGCTTCGTAGCAAATATTTTGCAACCAACACGTTGACACACAAAAAAATGACGTGCCCAGAGGCGAAGGAGAGTGTCTCAATAAATATAAAATATTCGAAAGATTGAAAAGTGTTGACAGCAAAAAAGGAACAAAACAAGCTAGAAAAAAAATGTAAACTTGACTTTGATGATAAGCAGAATATAAATGGTATCAGTGCGAAAATTCAAAATGCAAGGTTTGTCAAACATGCGTTTTAAAATCATATATAAAAAGCATCGAGTTTTATTGCACTAAAAAGTGCAGCACAAATGACAACTCAACCTAACCTTCAGTACCTCTT